CGACGTGTTTTGATTTTGAAACGTGCAGTGCTCATGTTTATTCAACGAAGTCAAACGGCACAAATAAATCAATGTATGGGAAACTGGTAATGTATATCGAAATATCGGAAATGTGTTTAAAAATCATATCACCGTTATTGAAAAAAATTATATCGCGATACATATTGATATTGAATTATTGTCCAGCCCTAAACGATATATTATATAGCACCATCCTGTCCTAGTTATGCAATGGTTGTTTGCTAGTGTGAGCATGTATGACTATTCTCCAAACACAATCTCATCAGGTCATTGCTGTTTTAACATACATATGGCTATGATCACTTTGCACTTTGAAGCTCTCAACTCTCTATCACACCACAGAATGACTCCAAAACTCATGTATAAAACAGCTTCACCCAGAATTACTTCAAGCAATCTGCTACTACAACACCCAAAAAAGTTTCAACACAATCTGTACATTTCTAAATAGTCCTTTTGAAAACCAATGCCATCTTAGAATGAAAAAGGGTGCAGAGCATTTGTTTTATGAAAAACCCTCCTTTCTGTGCTCCTGGAAGCTCGGTCCTGAAAAAGAGAAAAAATGGTTTAATTACAAGTTACAAATAATCATACTGCTGCCGACGGGAAGCAGCGCATTGTGTTTGACGCTTAAAACAGTGAGTAAAAACAGGCAAAATGATTATACAAAACAAGCACCAGAATTTCAAAGTCTCAACATTTTTCCCCCTGTAATTATGGGGGGGAATGCCACATCTACCATTATGAGATATAAATGTAATCTAATTGATCTAATTCTGAAGCAATAGGCAATACTGGTATTTTTATAAACTGGCCAATTGCTCTACTGCAGCAGGATCCGTGGTAAAATAAATAAATAAAAATAAAACACTGGGAGTGTACCAGCCACAGCGATTGACAGAAATAAAGAAACAAAACAAGATCCAGCAAAAAAGTAAACCTTAAGCCTACTCCTGACTCCATCACATAATACCGCTTCCATTATTTTGGACTATACATCTTGTGAAAAATATCTGCCAAAAACAGACAATCTCTGAAAACTTAAATTCGTCACATGTGTGATTACAAATCAGAAAGGGAAGTTTCCCCAAAGTTAATCTACACTTACAAAGAAGTTACTAAACGATTCAATATGAATCCATTTTTCTCTCTTATAAGACTGTTTATAAATATTACGTGTCTTATAAGATTTATACCTAAAAATATTTTTAAAAAAAAAGTTTGACTAGATAAAACATTTTAAATCCATAGGATTAACTCTTTTTACATAAATACATTCAAACCAATAAATAAATTGAAACTGAAAAAACAAACAAAAAACAAATCTGTGCCCTATACCAATTTTAAACAGAACATGTCTAGAAAACTCAAAGTTACCAAAACAAAATAAAAAAGCTTATATATTTTTTAAGTGGATCCATATGTACTACATAAAATTATTCATAATCTTACCCATTATGTGTATTTCTGTGATTCCTAGAAACTCATGGAGCAAATTATTAATACAATTATATGGACAAATAAGGTACCGTGATTAACCACACTCAACTACTATATTATAATAGAAGATGGCATATCAGCAAATTACAAGTGCATCTTAAAACAAGAGGGTGCTGAAGGGTAGCAGCTTTACAAATTCACTTCATAGACATAATGGCCCAAAGTCTTGGACACAGTGAGCATTAGAACCATAACACACAAAACATCTCAGATGTTTCAATTCACCTGACTTGAGAGAAACTGTGGCACCTTAATTGGAAACAAAATCTTTTCCCCTTAAATCAGTTTGCATGGTTAGCAACAGAGAAACATTCAGGAGGACGGAGGGAATCGGGGAAATGAGTATGTTGTGAGAGGGAACCTTCAACCACAAAACAACATCAGACAACAGTTAATGGTGATCAAGACAGCTGGCTTCACATAACCGTATTTACATGGTATATATGTGACCATCTTTTATTTTTCATCTTTAAAATATCCTCAAATAATAAGCTCTAAGTTCTCCAAAAACAAAACTGACCAAGGAATACTTTTTATATTGATATATAAAAACAAATTGAGAGAAAAGAAATTCACCAGTCACGTACTAGTAGGTATTTTCAAACATGGAAAGATTTCGAGATGAGAAAACAACAGACTTGACAGCTTCATACACACTTTTTTTTTCATTATATACAAGACCACTGATAACAGTTGCTCCCAAATCCTTTGAAATTGCAGACCTGGATGTGTTAATATCTACAGACATATTTGATTCTATTGAAATGGCTCAAACATCATTTGATTTTGTTACACGGTTATATTATCTAACACGGATATATTTTAGATACTATAACAAGACTTTGTTTTTTGCTACAAATGTAGCGTATAATGTAAAGTGGTTGGATTAAATGAACAGTCCCAAATATGAAAACTGTAATGCACTAGATCTAAGAGATCAGTTCTGGGGCAGTTTAGGTTAAGCTGTACAATTAGACATGACCAAGCGCTATGCTTGCACAGTACCGCAAACTATTATTATTATTATTACTATAAATAATAATGGATGATATAATAACAATTTGAGGCATGAAATACTCATGATTGAAGCCATGAAATCATTTTGAGGAAGTGTAATATATTCACTGGAGACTGAAAATGTATGGGATTTGTGTAAAAAAAAAATAAAATAAAATAAAAAACACCTTCCAAAAATCTAAAGCTTGGGTAACAACTTACTAAATAAATGGAAAAATCAAGTGGAAAATGGAGATAACGGATATTAGAAGCTGATCTTGACCAATCCTTATCCCTAACAACTCACAATTCAGATTCAGTAACCTGTATTCCCATCTGACAAACTTCAAAACAATTAACGGAGCCAAAGTTATAAGCATATTATTATAAACGGTCCAAAATATCTCTCTTCACAAACAAATAACTAAGCTGTTGTTGTAAACAGGACAGTTCAAACTCATCTAGTGCTCTATCTTAATGTAAGCAAACAGAGCTCCATCAAAACCTACAATAAAATCCTATCGAATCATCACACAGGCCATGATTCAGTCGTCCTCTTCCACACACAACATGTGCTGAACTCTGAGGAAAGAAAACTAAACACATTAAAAAGGAGTATTACCAAAGGAGGGGACTCTCTGGTTGCCTTTCCTACTTTCTTAGAAGCCATTTCTAACAACGATTAAAAGAATCTAAATATGCAATTCCAGCACCAAAACCTAAAATCAAAATATAAAAGCCATTTATTGTCAAAATAGTTTTTCAGCTGTCTTTAGGTCCCAAAGACACGCGTCGTGAACCACCACTCCAGCTCTGCAGAACAAAACCCAACTGCAATACAATCATAATGGAGAAAGGGACAATGAATAAACTTAAGATCATGAATAGTCGTAGACAAATGCACAAAAAAAGAGACACCTGCATTATCACAGTGGCTTCCAAAAGATACACAACTAGAAAAAAGCTCAACCCAAATATGCCCCTGAAGTTTCATAACAAGCAGTGCTTTTCTCTCTGATGTCCCCAACATACAGAGCTCCATACCGAAGACATCTGCTGCCCTCTACAGGTGACAAAACCTACTGCAGCATGCGCAACATTATTCAATCAGCCAAACCACCCCTTTAACACTTTGTTCAAGTCACACTGACTGTGGAAATTCCACAATAAATCAAGAATTCCTATTTGACCAAAAACAGACATCCAAAAGATTATCTAGAGAGCTAGAGGATGGGAGCAACTATTATCAACTGGCATAAAAATGTCCTGGTTTCATACCTTTTTCTCTCTTTTCACCTGCTGGTTTCAGACCATTACTGATCCCTCCACATATAAATGAAAGTACAGAAACAAGAGCAAGACTTCATGCCAAAGTCATTGACAATGTGAGTTCAGTGCTGTGCCATATCCAGCAGGACACAGCTGGTGTTTGGCTCTTTGTTTTGGATTCTTTCATGCATGTGGCTTGAGCTTGTCGATAGCACTCTCCACAGAGCTTCCAAAGCTTTAGCCTCCTGACTGTGTGTCTGTCTTTCAGAAAAAGACATTCTCTTCTTGCTCACTTCTTGTCGTCTTGTCTGTTGAACTGGCTTGTTCCTCAGCCATCGATAATGGAAACATCGATGTGAGACAAATCTATCATGTGCCTATGTGATCAAGGGAACATGTGATGGAAATGAGACACTCACACTTAAAGGCAAGCTAATCTGAGGCACCTCCATCAAAACATGACAATCAGTGGAGTCACAGTAGAGCTCTTGTTCTTTGTTTTGATGAGGAATACTTGCTGATGCTGCATTTCGGCACATTTTATTTGCCCTTCACAAACCATTAGGCACAATGACTCTGATCTGCTTCAGCCAATAGCACCAACAGAAAATACACCTTAATATTCACACCATACGCTACCAGTCATAAGTTTTTGAACAGTAAGATTTTTAAAGTTTTTTTTTTGTTTTTTTAAGTATTCTCTTCTGCTCAGCAAGCCTGCATTTTATTTTGATCCAAAATACAGCAAAAGCAGTAATACTGTGAAATATTTGTACTATTTAAAGTAACTGCTTTCTATTTGAATATATTTTAAAATGTAATTTCTGTGATCAAAGCTGAATTTTCAGCATCATTACTCCAGTCTTCAGTGTCACATGATCCTTCAGAAATCATTCTAATATGCTGA